AAGGCGGTCAAGCACTGAAGAAAATACAAGAATTGAAACGTGCGGTCGGCTCTTCGTTTTGTTGGGGTTTTTTACATGGGGAAGAAAGTTTCTTAATTCTAGTAAAACTACGTTCAGTTACAGCACACACTCTACACAGATGATTCAAGCCAACAAGTGTATTTTGATGTTAGGTCATTCAAATTAATCGAATAGATCGACATTATTCTCTGGTCATTGAAGGATAATGTTAGTCTTCTCGAAAAAAAAAAATGGAGTATGTACCCAATATTGACTCTGGTAATTTCTATTACATATCGAATTATTATATGATTATTTACAAAGGTTAACTCACGTTATGCATATTGCTAATAAGGCTACATGGAAATCTTTAAATCTCCTTATTCGTAATTAAATGCATGCTGTTCTACTGAACTGAACGTTATTAGACCACTAGAATTTACCGAACAGGCTAGAAAAATGTTAAATTGTACTTTCTGGTTCGGTGAACAACGTAACTTAGCCTATGGAGGACGGCATTACGACAAACAAAAACGTCTGGCTCCTTAGGATTAATAATTGCCTGATATATTAAACATTTTATACTACTAGAATTCCGTTTAAATCATCCATAATCCTCGATTGCTTTGGTCCTGAGCATTGACTGGTATATTTCCATTGTGTTGGAGTCATCGTTTCTCGTGATTTTATTGGTTGATTCTGTGAAAGTGATCTGGCATTTTAATGATTTCATGCATATTATTTAGCTTATAAGTAATCTTTCAGGTCACTCACTTAGCTGAAGTAAATAAAATATTTCAGACGCCTACTGACAGTCTGTTCGTCCCCTACTAAGACTTCCCAGTGAGATGATGTGTGATGTTATTGTCTGAGCCGATGGTGAGCAAGTTTTGAAAACCTTTCGATATATTCTCAACAGTCACTTTTTGACACCATTTCAAGCATGCTCAGGAGAACTTAAAAGACTATTATATTCAACATTTTGGTATATGCGCGTATCTTTGTTTGAATTGACCATTTACTACAAATAATAGTGAGAGATATACTATATTGAATGTTTACCACAGCATTTAAGAAATAAAATCACTACAATTTAATGATCTGTATATAGTACTTCACTCTTCAATCTAATCATGCTTTATAAATGGATCAGCAAGATACGAGATATTTTTGTGAGTCAATGTTAAAGGGTTGTACTACGAGGTCGATCGCCCTCAGGTCTCTGCCAAAGCTAGTTATCTAACTAAAATAGGAAATCCGTAGACACCAGAAATATTATGGTATAATTAATAACTTTGAGATTTCAAATACTTTTCGACAAACCATAAAAGACCCTTAAGCGATGCAGTTTCAAGTTTAGTTATCTCACGTCTAATTTACTTAGTGTCTTTCTTACACCCCGGTGATATATGAGGAACATTTATAATGTCCATCTCGTTTTTCGGAGTTTGATAAATCTAGATTTAATCTCAGAATAAAATCAATTTGAAG